GAAAAAGAGGAACATCAAAGCAGATAAAAGCGTATCGCAAAGGAAAAAATGAAGGCAAGTGAAAATGGCTGAATTCTAGAAGACACAAAAGAGTGAAGACAACTGCACCACTGTGACCGACTTTCAGCTGTCACAAACAGTCTCTGATCCTTGATTTCTACTATTCCAAGGAAACCAGAGAGAGAGAGAGAGAGTCTACGCCTCCTCACATGTTTCAGATTAACAGTCAGAAACTTCACGTACTGGTTTCATATCCTGGTCTCGCCACCCTGAGCATTCTTATGAGATTGGTTTTTTTATATAGCTCAATGATGTAGTAAATAATACAATACTACTGTGTGGAATACAAACAGACTAATCTAAAGTGTAATTTATTTTCAGAAGTGCCTAAATGCAATGCTAATAACTTTAGCGTTCTTACCTGCCCAATAATATTTCGGCTAATATTGCAGGTCGGAGTGTGCGGTGAAGGTTCTCATCCTATTAGACTAACTTACCTTCCGCACCAATTACTCTTCGCCTAACTTCAAAATTGCACACATTGTAATACCACCACATATGAGCAATGTTGCAAAAAAATATGTGGTTGGTAACCTGTGATATCTTCATATCTCCTACTTTTAACGCCCATGTCTCACACCGTATAATAAGATAGATTGGACTGCAGAGCGAGACACTCCTTTAATAGGTAGTTGGATATCTCACCGACTCCAGAGGTGACGTATTTGACAAATACCTAAGGGTTCTTTTGCATCCGAAATGGGATTACACCAGCAACTAACCCATTTGCCCCGATCCAACTCCCCAAGTAAGTGAAGCGGTCAACGCATCCAACCATTTCACTCTGTATTCTTAACTAAGAGCAGATGCAAACCATTCTTGAAGCATCATCTCATCTCTGAAGAGTGCAAAACACATACCAAGCATACTCAGACTTCTGCTGAAGGCATTCAGGAGACTATGAACTTTGTCAACATATTAGCCTAACAAGACGTCCACTGAGTATCCCAGGTCAGCCAGGTGCCCTACAGAGAATAGCTCGATTCCCGTGTCGTATCTAGCGTTATGCCCAAAAGCACAACTATAACAACGTAGAACAAGAATGAGACAGTGGGCAATTGTGACAGACAACACTGGCTGTCATCATTTCAGATGACACACCCCATCCAAAAAAGCCCATACAGTAAAGGAGAATTCAAGTAAAGAGCTTTGATAACTATTATATACTTCCTCGTCACTCCTCTTGCAATCAGATAATACCACAATACATCATGGTAAACAGAGTCAAATGCTACCTTCAGGTCAAGAAATATGTCAATTATCGCCAACTGATAAGCATGCCTGTGTTCCATGACCGTGTGAAGGGTGAGGATCTGATCGATACATCCTTGTCCAGGTGGGAAACCTGCCTCGTTTGCCTGAATTCAATGTTCTCAAGTCTCAGATAGGCTTGAGACGCAATATTCGCCAAACCAATTCTTCTATGGTTTTCAAAAGATTTCTCCCCCATCTTATAGACTGGGATGATCAGTGAAGTAAACCAGTCTGAGGGCACTACTTCTGATTCCCATACACTAACCTAGTACCTCCATTACTCTAATCAGCAATTTCCTACCTACATCCTTGAGAACTTTGGGTGGCGAACTGTCAGGTCAAGCTGCTTTGCATCATTTCAGGTTTAAAACGGCCTTTTCAATCCCAGGACAGCTGGAGGACCGATGTCTACGTCTCATTTAAGTTCAGGTTGGATGTTGGGTAACTGAAGCGTGGCTATGAACCAAATGAACTCGACTTCAAAGTGTTCTTCCTAACGTTCTAGCCGCCTGTCCTAGGAGGTTATCAACATACTACCCATTTTGGTGATGGTTTCACTTACCATCGTTTTTTACTTGTCAGTGTTCTTAATAAGCCTAAAAAGTTGACAGGTGTCACCCAACGCTGATGCCTTCTCTATTTCTATGATTTTCGCTGCCTATCACTGCTCGTGACGGTCAATTTACGCCTAAGTTGCTTTCGTTTTTTGCAGTCATCGGAGCCAGCTGAATGAGTATTTTCGCACCAAACTGTTCGGATGGTGTTGTAGAAATCTATTGACGTTTGCTAACCTTTGGGTGTAGGTCACAAACTTCCTTTACCACCTTTTCTACAGAACAGTAGATATTACACCGGGCTTCATCAGGAAGAGAATTGCTGCCATGTTCAGATAAATGCTTGGCTGTTTCGCCTCTATATACTCATTTAACTTTTTTATCGTCCAGTCGAAAACACAGAAGCTTGATTGTCATGTTTCTTATGCCCACTAAGGCGTAAACACACACATGGTCATAATAAAGTGAGATTGGAGTATACTACCACACCCATGCAGGCAGTCAGTACTTCACAGCTGCCCACACCGTGGAAGTTGTTTCTGCAAGGTGATTGCAGAGACCATGGGATATCTTCTTGAGATCGGTCACTTACGTGCTGTTTGAGTGTTGGATTGAGATTTGATTGTGCTAACGAAGGATAAGAAAAATCCATATGCAACCCCGACTACTACATCAAGGTAACAGCTATCGATCGTGTTCTGAATGGAACACTTAGATGGTGCATCCACAGTTACAGAAGTTGAGAATGCTGTAAGTAATATCAAACGAGTAATGGTATGAGGCTCCGATGAACTCATACCAGAGGTATTTAAGAACGAGAATCAAGGATTATTGGTTAAAGTAATTAAAGTTGAGCTAATACTTTGGAATCAGATATGATCCCCTCTTACTGATCCAAATTACTGATTGTTCCGAATTTCAAGGTGAAATATTTCCTTGTGATAGCCAAACACAAATCATTTTGACTAACACGAAGTCAAGGGTTATAGTTTCTAAATTCATTTACGCCTAAGTCAGGTGTGAGGAATCCAGGCAGGTTTCAAACCTTGTCGTGGGTACATTGATCAGATCTCAACATTCCCACTAGTCTTGGAATACAAACACTCGCATGTCTGACGCTGTGTATTTCTTGACCATAAAGTGGCGTTTGACTCAGTCGGCCGAGAGGTTTCACGATGGTGTCACTCACTGAAAACGGTATCAGATAAGTACATTGTTTTATCACTCTATACTAGAATACTCATAGGCGTGTTAGAGTTGATGGTGTGGTAACAGGGGAGTTTGGTACGCCAAGTAGTGTCTTTATCAAAGGTATCAGCTCTTCCTATTCTTATTTAAATATGTCATGTGCAATTATGGATATCTGCCTCTTCTCGTCTGACTCAATAGGGATTGAATTGCTCACAAAAGCATACTTTTAGGTAAAAGACGAAATTCAGTTAATGATATTATAAACTCCCATAGACCTAGACCAAGAACCTATCACGCAACAAATATGCAGAAGAAAGTGGGGAGGAATTCGGCATGCACTGAGAAGACCATTCGGGGATATCACGCGTCAGGCCCTCCAGTGGAACCCAGATGGGAAACGACGAGTTGGGCGTCCGACGGTGACGTGGAGGAGATCGTGTGAGGTAGAAATGACAGCTTCTGGGCTATCGTGGAGCCAGATTCAAAAGATTGCAGAGAACAGATCAAGATTTCACCAAGTCATAAAAACACTGTTGATATAATGACGTTGCGGATTTATCCTTTTTGAGATTCTGGATATTTTATGGCGTTGTACCTGAAGTCAGTTTTCTAATTACATGACTTCCTTGATTTATTTTAGCAGTTTCCCTTGCCAACTTTCGCAAAAATTTCTCTTGCAGAATGTGAGAAATGAACGTTTGTATTTTGTTTAGCCTTTACTTCGTACAACTTGTGCGTGAACACTTTCTTCAAAACATTTTTCCAGTTCTCTGAATCCATCAGGGTTTTTTAACCAAGTGATTGACATGAGTTGTAAGCATTAGCAAGGGTTAGTGATTACGTTTGCATATGGAGAACTGAGTGCGCGGGGTTCGAAATCCACCTTTGCTTCCAAAAACATTCTAAATTACTGCACCACATCTGCATGAGAGAATACGTTGCCAGGCTAAGTTTGATTGATTAACATACTTAAGACTTAACAATCCACCTACTTCTTGAATAGTCTTCAAATACTCGTGAGTCGCCTCATACACCTCTGCCTACCCTATGACCGAAATGCTATACAGTGTCTCAATTTGCAGTTGGAATTTATGCTGATGAAAAACACTTGACAGTTGATGTGCTGCGCTCTAGCACTAACCTGACTTTAGTCAGAACCAACGTTAACTGCGCTGCATATGTAGCTTAGGATGTTAGTAGTGTTTGAAAAAGATTGATCGATGTCCACGAGCCCATTGGCATCAGGTATTAGGTCAATATTTCTCATCATAAATTTGTACATATCTTGTTGACATGGTATAAAGGCAAGACAATCAATTTCATGCTCAAAGACCCAAACAAAGTTACCAACTCATATGAACAATAAATCGGTTTTTGTTCTTCCAAAGGGTTACTCGCATATATGACCTCGCTACACGAATAATCAATGACTCAACTCTGAATATCTTATTACTACTTATGGTGAGGTTCGACAAAAATCTACTTATAAGAATAATTTTGATTCTGGACAGTCAAGATTGTTAACATTTTACTTCCGATGGAATTTTAACCAAGCACTGACAGCACATAGAGTACAAATGTGGAGAACTACACTAAAACATCTCTGCTTAGTTGGATATGACATTCATCCTTACGTAAAATCACATAGTAAAACAAAAATTCGGAATTTCCGAAAGGTCTTAGTCCTTAAGGATAATTCTTTTAATTCATGTATGAATGGCAGTTCATCCTTACATGACTCGATATTAGAAAATTGACAATCAAAACGTAAAATCAGTTTTCGATTTCATCTGCCATAGAGTAGGAAAAATCACTTGCATCTATAGGCATAAAACATAATGACACGTTATTAACACTGTTATATTACTACACCAGGATGTCATAAAGCATAAATGTTCATTGTGCTAAGTATGAATGGTTCAAAAAAGACTATTTACTCACCATCAACACCTGATGAATAAAAAAATACTATCTGAAGGGCCAACAGAACAAGACAAGCCAGAAAAATTAGTTTGATGGTAAAGGACCTAATAAGCGTCGCGATACCCTTCACCATCTCCCACTAATTGAAGGTAAACATTAGGTACCCAAGGTCATCATTCCAACCTTGACCTTCAAAGTTGCCAATATGTGAAGCGTTTTAACTTCAAATGTTTTGTTAGAAAAATACAGAATAATGTTTGCTTAGATATAATCTCCCTGCTTATGGAAAAAGTCATCTTTCTGGAACTGTTACCCTCATTTTCTCTATTGTGTTAAAAATGAATTAACAAAGACAATCAGCTTTCTTATAATGCTGCTACTAACCTTGGTAATTTGATTGGTAGAAGGTAAGTTGCAACTCACATTTATCACAAGACTCCAAAAAAGCATCTGGCATCTACTTGAAACTATCAGCGGAAAGGGGCCGTAACAACTTCAATAACAGAAATCCATAGTTTACAGAATGTATCTGAAAATGAGTTGGTGCGGATCACTCTTCAGTCCTTAGAATACTTTACTCCCAGGGGTTGACTTTCAAGATATGGTTTCCGGTCTAAGCTTGTTGAGGATCTGCCAGGACAAAGGGAGTTATTAGCAAATGCCTCGCTGACCTGCCTCCTGGTTGCAGCTTGTGAGCTATCTAGCTAAGGTCTTCGCTAAAGTCCTCTCGCTGATTTGTGACCATTCCCTGAACTTGTTCAGGATGGCAACATTCTTTTCCAAGTAGGAGAACACAAACAGCTTATTCTTCACAAGGTGCGGGAAAATGCTTGCTGAAATAGTCCAGGTTATTTCCCCCAAAGTTTGAGTAGAAAGGGGCAATACTTCATAAGTTTCATTCATCGCAATGTTATTACAAGCAGAAGCTCTAAGTTCGTCTTCCAGAGTGATCCTAAGATCCTTCTCAATACCTGAGTGAGAAGCATTTCTTTGTACGTAGGAGTAAGAACTAAAATGAGCCATGTGATCGTCGAATATCATAATATTACTCTTCTGTGTTGAGAAGAAGCAAGTTTCCACTTATCCATTAGGTCTTGTTCAGTTTTCACTACAGGACAGAAATGTCTGCTGTTTCTTGTGTTTCCCTCAACACCATGAGACCATCAACATCCAGTGCCTGGTGGATGAAAGATTAGGCTGTTGGTTAGCCCCGTATAAAAGCAAAGGACAGAAAGAAATTACGAATGGAACCCCGGGGCAAACCTTGAATCATAAGGAACTAGTTGAGCAGTGAGTTTCAAGTCTAGCTGATGACAACCAACTGTTGGCGTTAATTTCTTAGAACAACTCGGTAGCTTCGCATGCACATGCATGGGCTGAACTTTCTTACTTACTGTGCCATTTTAACTTGTCATGGGTGGGCGAATATGAATATCCATGTCTGGACGCAGCTGTTCACACTTAGCTAACACGTGGCCTACAAGGTAAAAGTCCATGCTGATGGACTGCTGAGGCTGAGTTCCCCGATAAATAGTTATGGATTGCGCAATTACATACGCTTTCTCCAACCTTAGTGACCGTTCCGGGTAATCAGTTTATTTCCATTTTTGTGCGGTTGGGCATCTGTCACCGGTCTCGAATCTGGGGAGAACCCACATCTATAGTGGAATATTTGAAGAGTTTCATCGGTCGGATGCATGCAGCAATGGCATGCTCATTCAACGCTGTGTGATGAATCCCTCCAGTCCCTGCAGATTTATTTGAACCCATGCACTTCAGAATCCTATTTATCATTAAAGACTTGAATTCTACTCTGCCAAAGCTATCGTGTTTTAGACGTCCAGCTGGTTTCGGGTTTCCCTTCCACTTGACAGAAGTTGCGCTGCAACTCCTTGGCTAGTGTGTTTCATGCCTTAGATCTAGTGCAATGAAATTTAAAATTAGCAGAATCCTGTATACCAAGCGAGAGGTTACTCTCTCTTTTTGTCAGTAAGTACAATACCATGCGATTCACATACAGTGTTCGACAGAAGTGTCTAGTTATGTATTGTGTTCCATCTGATGACCTTTAACAGTCTACCATCATTCACTGTCTTAGTTCCGTGTGCTGCAAAAGGTTACGTGTCCTTGACTATATCAAGAAAGAAGGGATCTTTTATTCCTACGTGGGGAGATAGGATATGCTTCTGCTGGTCTGCTGAAAGTTAGGTATAGGATTCAAATCAAGTGAGTAATCAGAAACAGCCTGCGTAGAACTTCCCTGATATTTTCCGACCATTCCACGAACAGCTTTTCTGAGTCATTGTAGTCATGTTGCGGCAAGTTAATTGAAGGCGAAAACACTGAATGAGAATAAGAGTACGATAACTCGGTCCGGCTGGACCATTCCACTGCGACATGCTGCAGCTCACTCTGAATACTAATCACAACAGCGTCGTCAGCTGCAGCAACCTCCACCCCATCTTCGTCCTCCATCTTGATGATCTGGCACTACAGTCCCTTATCTCAACCCACCGCATGGGTCCGGAATACTTCTGCATCGTGACTTCCTCGGAACAAGTTGAATGCGTTGTAAAAGGTTGACCGGCTTTTTCCAAAAAAATTTCCTCAATTTAGACGCTAAGTGTTTTTAAACTCGTCGTATATCCACTACTTGGATACTGTGCTATAACAACAGAGATAATAATGTGATATATTACACACGAAAATGAACCGGTTTATAGGTTTGATTGCCTTGGTAATGTGAACTGACTGTTATGTACAATATCACACAATGCTTTAGACACTTTTATGTGAAGGTCGAGAGGCAATTTGACAGCTACTTCAACACTACGCAGTACCACAAACCTTTATCAACCTCATTCAACGCTATATGCTACGCGATGATACTACATGCCTGGTGATTCACGATGAAAGGTTCGGCGATGCCTTTGAAGTGGTAACAGGGGTGAGACAGGGCCATTTGCTATCAGCGATGATTTTACTAATCATGATCGACTGGACTGGACCTGGATCAAGCAACAAATTGTGAGAAGCGAGCGTGATGGGCGTACGCCAGCTGGTCCGATGAAAATGCTCTAGAAGATTAGGATTTTGTCGATGTCGCGCAAGCTCGAAGGTCTACGGGTAAAAAACAATAATTTGGCGGAAGAGGAAGCTAGAGAATATAGGACTTCAGGTGAGTACAAAGGAGACAAAAGTGATGAAGTTGCTCAACCAACAACAACAACAAGCATCAATCACCACCAATGGTAGAAACCTGAAGAGAGTCGGCTCCATAACCTACCTACCTACCTACCTAGGCAAGGTAACATCGTTTCAACTTCAGGTGGCACATACACAGATGAGGACGTCAAAGCAAAGATCAGAAAGACAGCAGGAAAGGCCTTCACTAACCTGGAATCAGTGTGGAAGTCTGCTGCACTCAGCATAAAGCGTGAATAGGAACCGTATTTTCGATACTTATGTCAGTGAAGTGAGTGCTTCTATGTGATGGTTCAGAGACGGAGCGTAAAAGGAAAGCATTTCCAACAATTTACGGACATTCAGCAGCAGCTGTCTGCGCTTCATACTGATGATCGGATGACCAGAAAAAATAGGCAACAAGGAACTCGCTCTGGCCTGGCAACGAATCAACCAAGAACCTACCGCCGAAAAAATATGCAAAAAAGATGGAGATGGATTGAACACATACTTAGAAAACCATTCAGGGACATCACGTGCCGGCACAGGAGCCCGAGTGGAACTTGTACGAGAATCTACTAGTTGGCAGCCTAAGGAGAGAATGACACGGAGAGATGGCGTGTGGAAGAAATGAAAGCTTGTGAGCAGTCGTTGAGCCAGGTTGAAAGGACTGGAGAGGAGACAGTGAAATACAGACGTGCTGTTTAAACCCTTCATTCCAATTGGAACGCAAGGAACAAATAATGGTAATAAATTTAGGGAACATAAGAGGTGAGTTTTAAGAAGAAAACAAAAGATAGAGTAGCTATACACCAACATAGCTGTTCTGCAGGCCGAAGCAAGCCCAGTTCGAAAGTAGGAACTACTTAGCTATCGTTTGAACAATCGAATATTCTTGGAGGCAGGGCAGGTGGTACAGCCGTGACCCTGAATTGTGTGCATTCCCCATAAAGTCGTGACGGCACAAGTTTTGGCAACATTTATGTAACGTAGAAGATTTGGGCCAAGATTTTCAAATCAGTTTCACTTGCGTCTTACTCGGTCGCACAGCCGGCTGCAACTGCTAATGTGGGTACCGAGTACTGAGTTCACAAGCACTCTGACCTAAGAACTTGGAAATCAACTTCACATTCCTCTATTTCATGTGAAGTAGAAATGCCGATTCCCAGTGTGATCAAATTGATGAAAACCTATTGAAACGTTCTTTCCGGCACAGTATAGTTTGTTGTCAAGTATATCCCCCTCGTCTGTACAGACCAGTGCAAATCCTAGCGGTTCATGAGTCGTCCCAACGAATTTTCTGACTTCTACCATCCACTTTAAGAGACGCACATGGTGGGCAGCAGGACAATATGTGTTGAAGAATGCCTAACCTTTAGAATAAAACCGTTACTGTGATAATTATTCCGGCTTCAGGTAGCAGACTTTAGCCTCAGTAACTCAACGTTCTATTTTGGCCAGCCAAACTTTACCCCTTTGGCGGCAAAATTGTCATGCAAGCCTGAATATTTTCCACTTCCTAAAGCAATTCTATCCTCCACCGTCCAGTAACCACCCTATTTATCTGTTGGAAGCACAAATAAAAGAGTACCTGAGCATCACGAGGGCTAACGAAAGATAAAGTGAAAGATAAAATGCAGTGGCAAGTTTTATACCTCAACACTGAAACACAGCCACCAATATGCTACAGCATTTATCCGTTTTCCCATGCTAATCTTAACCTACCCTCTAAACCCCTTTCTTCATACAGCGTCTATACCCCCTGATGCAAACCAACCCTCACACTCTTCTGTTAAAACTCCATGAACCGTTAAGGACCGATTGCTTGTACACTTGCACCTAAGCTCACTATGAACTTCAGAGATGTTTCAGATATGGTATACCTTGTTGCCTGTTGCGAGTATTTGTCCACGTACAGACAGCTCAGAAATAGTTTTGTCTAGGGTGTCC